ATACCACAAAGAGAATTTCAATATTTCAACGCTTTTGAAGAAAATAGCCTTCAATATATATTTACTTCGATCAATGGTTAAAAGTCATTACAAGAGATAAAATAAAAATTCAAACGGGTTTTATAATTTTCCTTACAAACGTCGAAATGCGTCAAAATGACGCGTCCCGTAAACCTAGTGTTAACGATAGCAACTTTATGCCATTATTTTAATGGATCAAATAATATGCAGCAACCTAAATGTATTTTCAATAATTATTTTAATAGAAAAATCGAATGTGATTCTATATACAGAGATGTCACAAGGGACTAAAATTGTAAGAAGTGGTAAAAACTCATTTAATAACTTCATCGTAACTACTATCATGACATACATTGTAAATTATTTATATTTAACCCCTTGATATAGATATGATCTTTGATTGCACCGTAAACAACAATTCGCAACGGAATGTTGACAGAGATGCCAACTGCTCCGGCCCCGCCAAGATAATTAAATAACCCTGCCAACTTTTAATCCTTTCAATGAAATTTAAATTACAATTTTAGGCAAAAACATTCGCTGTATTTTGAACAAGCTTACCTGTACCCTGTCCCACTTCACTTCTTCATCTATAATAGTGCCCGCAGGCGCCTGGAATAATGTGTTTATCAAAAAGATGATGGTGGCTTGGCTGTAGTTGTGGCTTAATGGGAGAGGGAATTACTACAAAAATCTTACATATTTATATATATATACTTAATTTTTTAAAAAGTAGCGGTGCATCAAAAATATTATAAATTAAGTTTACCCATGCAAGGAATATATTGAAAGCATTTATTTTACTACCACTTTAAATATGGAAATAAAATTTTATGCAAAATGCGTAAAAGTTGGCAGATATGTAACCGGTAAATAATTACAAACTAAATTTTATAAATATTTGACTACTTTTGGATTTTTAATAGGCTTGGCACGATATTACTAAGATTAAATGGTGAATTATATAAGCGCATGAATTATTTAGAAATAGTGGTGGATAAAAATCTACTAAATTAAATTTACTAAACCAAGAATCACAATTGATAAACTACCACTTTAAAATATTTATTTGCTGTCCGGAGCAAGTTGTCATCTCTGTGAAGACGTCTGAGACACGTCAATTATTGTTTTGACGTAAGAAACACATGACGTCTTCGTATGTCAAGCAAAAAAAAGAAAAAAAACATTGCAATCATCTTCAATAGCAAACTAAAAGAAATATGCTAGAAAGCTCTAATTTTAATATTTTTAATAAATTTTTGCTTTTTAATTATCCCCACTTTTTACATATTTAGTTGCCTGTGGCGTATAGTTATTTATAGACCGTGAAGAATGTAACTTCGATGTTAAAAAAGCAGCAATCAACAAAAAAGTTAATGAAGTTACTATCCACGATGTAAATTTATAACTTAGTTACCATGTTTACGACTGTATTTAGAGGGGGAAAAAAGTAAACAAAATATTCTTACGAGGTAGTAGCTGTTGACGGATTCACAGAATAAAGAATACAAAATAAATTGCGAATATTTTTCTGTTAAACTAATCTTTTTATCCCAATTCTCCCAATTTGAAATATATACATTACTTCCCGGTACTCATTTTAAAAATTGAACACCATAAAAGCTTTCAAACAAAATTCTTGCGATTTCTCTTTGCCGAGCGAAATTGAATTTTCCGAGAAATCTACGAGAAAATTCGTTTATTTTTAATCAAAAAGCTTTCTCAGAAAAAAAAATTTAAGTTTAGCAAACGGGAAATAATGTATGATTCTTTTCTTAGAATTAGACGCGTTCCACGCATATGATATGACAGCGATGTTCTTCTTGGAATTTCTAAGAAACAAATGTTCTTTCTGCATATCAAATAACTGATACGAACAGAAACTGAAAAAAAGGATCGTATATTGTTATCCACAAAGCAACAGTCTTTTTTCGTTCAAAAGAAGTTAAATCAAATTGTCCAGAAAACTTAAACACAAAAGAGTATCTTATTGCATTGAAGTCTTAAAATATATATCGCGTAGTAAGGAGTATTATTATTCTATTCGCATAATTTATCGATTCGGAATTTTGTGACTAAGATTACATTTCTGTGAGCTAAATATATCTTTTCGATTTTGTTTTCAAGAAAGAAAAGTCATATTTTTTGGCAAACATAACATATATTTTGGCATAGCTTATTTAGTGATTTCATGATAATAAATATCAGAAAGAGAAAGGTTTTAAATTTGTTATGAATTTCTTCAGAACATTTTTTTTCACGTCTAAATATAAAAATTATTTCATTATGTCATATTTAGCATTTTAGGCATAAAAATTTTCCGTTAATCTGAATAAACCGAAATAACTTATATCATTTCAAAATCAATATAATTTTATTGTAAGAGTACATATGGGGTAAAAAGATGAGATAGAATTATGTGTCCTACTGGGGTTTTATTACTGTCATTAAACAGCAGGTCCAATTTTGAGTTTACGACTACCAACATAGGTTAGAATTTTTTTTATAAATATCAAAATACCAATAAAGGTAACATTCGCGCTTGATAATCCAGAAATTGATTAAGATGTCCATTTAAAAAAGTTTTGCTTTTCTTTGATTCCTTAATAAGTTAAATATTGTATTTCCTTTGATTTCAAAACATGTACCTTTTTAAATAACAAATGTTGATGGTACAATAATAATGTGATTAAATCATAAAATTGATTATTTAGTCTACTGTTACTAATAAAAAAGCAAGTATTTTCAAAAAGGAAAAAATTTTATTCTAAAAATACATATGACATATCAAAAAAGAATATTAAAATATCATTAATATGAGATATTAATAAGAATATTAATAAGAATTTAAAAGTAATACTTGCATAAAAAATAACTGCTGTAAAAAAACAACTTGCATAAAAGGAAAAATAATTCGTTTCTATAACAAAGTACCATTTGAAAAAACAAAATTTTTACTCCGTTTCTTAATAAAATTACAATAAATATAGTGTCATTCATTGTATGAGTTCATTTTACCAATTAAATCTGAAGTAAGGACTTTCATGTTGAAACCTGGAGGCTAAGAATCGGCTTAGAATTTTTTTATAAATATCAAAATACCAATAAAAGTAACATTCGAGTAAGATAATCCAAAAATTGATTTAGATGTTCATTTTTAAAAAAATGGTTTTCTTCTATTCCTTAGTAAGTTAAATATTGTATTTCCTTTTATTTCAAAACGTAAATCCTTATAAATAACAAATGTTGATGGTCGAATATCGGAGGTGATTAAATCGTAAAATTGATTATTTAGTCTACTGTTACTTATACAAAAGGAATAAATTTCCAGGAGACAATCCAGAAGACAAAGGAACTCCTAGTCCAAGTATTGGGAGCAATTTTGCCTTCGTGGAGGATTTTTGATGGAACTAACCGCATTTCCGTTACATAGAGAGGAAAACCACGAAAACCTTTATGATTAGCTTAACGGCAAGGAGACTCTAACCCATGATCCGTCTACCACTGAGGATATTTCACATCAGCACTGTGGTCGGTGCAAGCCGGATGCAAATTCATATCGACCAGCCATCACAGGGATACGAACCCGGTTCACCTCATTGGAAGGCGAGCGCTCCATCCCCTGAGCCATAGCGGCTCTGGAGCAAGTATTGGGAGAAATATGCCGTCACAGAAGACTTTCTGATAGAACTAAGCTGCATTTGCGTTATAAGGAGAGGAAAACACCCCACGGTTAGCCTAACGGCAAGGGGACTCTAACCCATGATTCGTCTACCAGTGAGAATATTTTATGTCAGCATTGTGGTAGGTGCCTCTACCTGGGTTACCTCATTAGCAAGCTGTATCCCCTGAGCCACCACCGTTCTGAGGGGCACCTACCGGGGTGTGGATCAAAATAATAGAAACAGATGTTTTGGCAGATTTTAGCAGATGTTTTGACAGATTTTACATGTTAAAACTATAGTTGCATTAAGGTTTTAGAAATAACGCACTCAAAGTTTGGACCGACCAAAATGAGAGTTGGAAGTTAATAACTTCTTTCTAGCTTTAATACCAGCAATTTTAAAAACATTCTGCAGGATTGGGATACTTATATAAGAATGCATTTTTAATTATATAGTGGCATTAAATAAAGATATCGGCTTTTAACTTACAAAGCTTATTTTGGTCCATGCAAATTTTGCATGGTTTGCATGGTTATCTTTTAAATTGTGCCAACAGTTTTGCCATGTAAAATGTGCTAAAAACATTTGCTGCTAAAAGAAAGACTGTTTACATTGGTTTAGAATAGAAGTGTATCCATTTGAAAGAAATAGAATATTGTAAAGGTAAAACTTCTTGCCTTCCTCAAATGGATCTATTTTAGCCATGCTTAGTAATTAAATTATTGAACTTCTAAAATAAACGTTTAAAAACATATTTAATAGCAAGGGTAAGGTTGTTGAGTAGTTTGATGCGTCGTTTTCTCCGAGATTAAATATAAAATAACATGGAAGTACTAAGAATATAATTTAATACATTTGTTGTGCGCATGCGCGTACTGCGTGCGCTTGCTGGATGCGCGGTAATTAATTGTTGAAGTTCTAAATTTGTGACTGCATTATTTTGATCAATCCTTGTACGTTTAGCATTAAAAATTCTGTACTGAAAATTGTGCATCGCTTTTCGTGTATTGCAAAACAACAACTAACATACTTTTAACAAAATTTTTACACAAAAAAAAAGTATTTATTTAATGTATCCCAATGTCGTAGGCCGATTAAAAATGGGATTCAAATCGAAACTAAGATTTAAATACTATTTAACAATTTGCTTACGGTGTACCGTGTTGTACCATCACATGTGGTCCACATATTGTACCAGCCGTAAGCTAAAGGTTAATAGATTTGTTTTGTTTTTAACCAAATCTTTCATTGTATGACGAAAGTTTCATTGTATTCATTGTTTTCATGACGCTCTGATCAGTTCTTTATTTTCAGAGTCTTTCAGCACTTCAGGATCGCATGAATACCGATGGCAGTCCAAAGCACCAGTACAAGATGAGAGAACTGAATCACATAGCAGATAAGCTGGGTTGTTCTATTACACAGCTCACAATTGGTAAGTTTCAATTAACGTAAATCATAATCATCAATGCCTCGACAACACAGATTGGGCCTTGGCCTTCTCAAGAAGTTTTTTCCAGGCTAACCTTTTTCCTGTAGTGTTTTCCAGTTTTTAGTCTTTAAAGCCAAAAGGTCTTTTTCTGAGCCATCTACTTTACTTTACTTACTTACTTTACTTTATTAATCCAAAATTGGGTGCCTGGGCCGCGCAGCGGCCCCTAACCCATCCATCATGAAGTATTTACAAGTTGAATTAAAAACATTTTGAATTATGCAGCATTAAGGTAGCAGAACAGAAGATCAAGCAAATTTGCTTGATAAATTAAACATGAATTGATATTTAATATGAGTCATGATTTATAAAATAATCAGAAATTTTCATGAATATAAAAAGCACAATTGATATTGAAGTATTGAATGGGATTAAATTTGATGCAATCATAAGTTGTGTTTTAAAAGTGAATTAATTTAAAATATAAACAAGTACAATTGAAATTTTAGCATTGAATGGAGTTTAAATTTGATGCAGTCATAAGTTGTGATATAGATATGAATAGAATCAAGATATATACAAATACAATTGACATTTTAGCATTGAATTGAGTTAGAATTACGTGATTTGTAAGACAAATGTGAAATGAAACAAAATCATGAAGTTTTAGCATAAGTTTTGCATTTTCTTAGTGGTTT